ATGCACGCGACTGCAGAGTCCCAGGTTTCCATAAACAGCTTCAATGAATGTATCGATGAGGTGATTAAAGAAATGAATATCAAAATTGGTTCTTGCTTCTATGGTGATAAGGTACGATGATGATGAGTTGTAGGGTTACATGGGGCAGCGGGCCCTCCCCTTTTTTAAACTAAATTTTTGATGAAAATTTAATTTATACGAGGTGGTTCTTTGTTTTGTTTAAAGGTACAACTAATGCGGAATGTATGATGTGAATGTGATGCCCATTGAGTTATTCAATTTTTAATTAAACACTATTTTGCAAAAAGTGTTAAAATGGGCCCATTGCGCCCTACCACTGGGGCAATGGGCCTATGGGCTTGGGGCTAGGCGCCCACCCCTGGTCCCTTTACCACAATTGAATATTTTTCGTTTAAAAATGATAAAACAACGCTTTACAGTTAAAATAAGAAAAATGTAATAAAAAATATGACATTCGTTCATTCATTACCAACTTAAAAAATCATATCCTTAACTTGAATAAAATATATTCTTGGCTTAAAAAATCTTTCACTGACATGAAAAAAAAATATTTCATTGACATAAAAGTATATATATATATATATATATCCTTGACTTAAAAAACATATCCTTGCCCTAAAGAATTCATCCTTGACATGAAAAAATGTATCCTTGGCTAGAAAAAATATATTTAGTTGATCAGAAAAAAACTTTGCTCCACTTTAGTCCATAATCCAGATATTATGTGCAGGGAATTTGTACCTAATCGTGATTTCAGCCAACACCATAAAAACTCATCAACTTTTTGCTCATTGGTGTTGGCTGAAATCAACTTTTCGCAAGGCATGTGTCAATAACTCGAAAACCATAAATACGCATAACTAGAAACAACCTGCTGCCTTGAGGCGGCAAATAAAAAAATCATGCAATATGAAGTGTAATTTGTAATTCAAAAAGCTAGTCATAGTTTTGAAAAGGTCATTGAGACAAATTTAATGATGTATAACACAAGACTTCACCATGGGCGCTTTGCCCCGTGACACGCGTGGGCCCGTTGCCCCACTAGGTATCATTTCAATTTATATCGTGTCAACATTTTATTTTAAAAGCTAATAGTCTAAACTTGATCTCAAAATTATCCCTATAAATATTACTTTCAAATTAAAATTCACAGTAATTTCAAAAGCTTTAGCTACAGTAATCAAAAACAGTTTTATTTAGCAGCAAACAAATTTTTATCTGGGCTAAAACAGTTATTCACAAAAATAACTTAATAACGCAAACACTTAGCAAAACGTAAATCCGTACACTTGATCCCAGTTAAACTGTCGACCGGCGGTAGAGAACACGGACCAATATCTGCCATACTTCGCGAGAAACCCGCTATGGGCCAATGACCCGCAGTGGGCTCGCTGCCCCATATGTTACCCTACTGTATTAACAAATAATAGAGAAATGCATAGATACAGTTGGCTTATTTTAAGCTATAGCAACATATTAGGAGGTAACACTGGGCGGGCTCGAGGGCTGTGCACTACTCGTCCGAGCTCTGTATTAAGCGCATCGGTAGGACGGGTGAAGCCGTGATCCTGCCTAGGCAACCGCCAGAATCCTTTGTACAGGCTTTGTAGTAGGGTAATGTCGTTGCTTTTTCTTTTATTTTATACGAACTTGTTTTTTACACACAGGAATATGTGAACGATTTTTTGAAAGAAAATACGAGAACAGCGGTAACTTTTTGTTTAAATCTAACGAGTGACGAACAACGTCAGAAGGCCCAACTTTACACTTAGTTCATATTCCTTTCCTTGTGCTAACACTCCTGAGGGCATTGTTTTGGGGGCTTGTGTAGCTGTTGCACCCGATATTAAATTCAAAAACCATGAATTATGTTGCTGGTTAATGAATGGAAAATTTACTAATTTAATGGATTTCGGAAACTTGTTAATGGTCTTAGGTTACCTGTTCTTAAATAAAAATTACTCTCTGAATTGTTAAAGGGGTGAGCAATAGGCAAAGTAATACCGCAAAATATTGTATGCTATTCGAAAATTCAAGCGGTAACATTTTTAATCTATCAATAATAAAAAAAATATGTTATAAGAAACACGTCATTTTTGCACTTCATAGACACGTGTTCATAAATGATAATTCTATTCAGATTGCACGAGTTAAAATGATGGAAAATGAGTGTTCGAGTTCAACCTATCTAGGAAAACTTTAACTCTAATCATGAACTATACAAGATCCATTACCACCCGCATTTCCACTTGATTATCACACTCTCATCTCACGCACAAATTAATTTCTTGTCAATTGTCGCTGAGAAGAAATCTTGAAAAGGTTATCGAAGGGTTTAAATTGCAGGATTGAATAAAAACTTTTTATAAAACGACATTTATTAGGTAAATGATAAGGAAGTTCATTGGATCCCCACAAATGGTTTCGACGCAAGCAGTGTTTCCTAAGCTAGAAAAAAGATAGTTTAGGCAGTAGCGTCACATCCAATAAAGCATTTTATGGGCAGTAAATCTAAGAAAATAACATCAGTTTGCCGTGGTGCCGCGGAGAGGGTCCGTTGAGGGTCTGATGAACGTGCGCCATGTGAAGTGGTGAGTCAGCCTCATGATTGTGAGACGATGCCATGCCCAGTGGTGAGTCAGCCTCATGATTGTGAGACGATGCCATGCCCAGTGGTGAGTCAGCCCTGTCTCTTATACACATCTAGATGTGTATAAGAGACAGGCCATGGCCAGTGATGAGTCAGCCTCATGATTGTGAGACGATGCCATGACCAGTGATGAGTCAGCCTCATGATTGTGAGACGATGCCATGACCAGTGGCTGTCTCTTATACACATCTAGATGTGTATAAGAGACAGACGATGCCGTGACCAGTGGTGAGTCAGCCTCATGATTGTGAAACGATGCCATGACCAGTGGTGAGTCAGCCTCATGATTGTGAAACGATGCCATGACCTGTTGAATGGCGGCTTTCGACGCGTACCTTATCAATTCGTGTGATTTCTTAATATTTTCCAATTAATTTAAATGTTACTCTTAACTTGCCGTGAAAGGACCGTGATAAGAACATGGCCATTTTTAGAGAAATTGTCGCGGTTATATAGTGTTACGAAAACTAACAACAACTTATATAATTGGAACACTTCCCTACACTACACTCCATCTAAAATATGGAATATTGCAGTAATTTTAGGTCACTCATATTCTGTACTATAGAACGCATTTGTACTCTTCATACATTATGCGTTTCGTGTATAAAACCAATTGTTGAATTCATTAATACGAATATCTATCAAGTAGATGTCGAATATGATACATTTGTACGCCCTGCGATGCATTTGAATCCCAGACTGAAATTTTAATATCTTAATATTAAATATCTTAACATGTGGATTTTTTAATATCTTGACTTGTGGAGCCCGATAAACATTGACTGGCCTGGAATAACATTTACTCCTTATTATAGAGAGCATGACAAATTTTTCACGAAACACAACTAAATTTTTTCGATCGTTTTACGGTATTCATACTAATAAACATTCTCGACACCGGATGTCACGGGATTTTACTGCAGAAATAACAAATGGAGATAACAGGATTGAAACATTTCATATCGACGCCTCATTTCAACAAAGGATCATAAGTTAACCACACGGATAATTGACAATGAAACGTTTATGACTTTTTTTCTGTGTTCCCATCAATACAAAATCTGCAGTCAGTATGTAGCAATACGAGTGAGTTACCGAACGTATGGGTTATAACTCTCCCGGATTCACTCTAATTGCGCTGAAGTTATAGCTAAATTATGATGGTGATGACGTCACCGTGCATTACGCCCTGCCTTTCGAGATTTGAGAGCATAACCGAAATATTGTCGACCAGCATGAAGCAGATGTTGTATTTATTGACACACTCTCCGCATGAGCCAATGGGCTGTATAACACATTCAAGCAAGTTACTTAATTAAATATTTTGCAATTAGAATATTTATGACATTTTTTACATAAGATCGTTATTTATTTCAGTTACAGTCTCTCAAGCTTGAAGTACAAAAAAATTAACCTAGTGAGCAAGTGTTGAAATATAAATGAACTTTTTTTCATGAAATCGTTGCCGTTCCGGGTAATGTGAAAAACTATTGAAATTCTCAGTCACAGTAATAAAGTGTTCATGATTTAGCAGGATAAATTATCATTGTTTAGACAAACTGTAAATAAAAACATCTGAAACTTCAATAGCTAAGTTAAAGGTGATATGTGAGGAACGAACACTTGATAACATATAAGAAGAGGGATATTTGAATTCTAACTTTGAGAAGATGGCACGACTTCCTCTCGTATGTGTTGTATATGCCATCGCTAGACTGGTGCGAGGTTCGTGCATACTGTGTTATCTCTGATATACGATAAGCTGTACACGTGTAATATTCTTTCATTTTTATTATCAAAAGCAGTAATCATTTCCTAGAACGGCGTATTTCGGATGAATGTAATTCTCAATCTCCTTTTACCCGTCAGTAACCATTTGTTTTAATTGAATCAAACTGCAAGCGTCATTCAAAGTTGTACGCGCATGGAAGTACCTGACAATGCAAGGTTAAGTATGAGCAGATTTCTTTGCGACCTGAAGCGACATCATTTATGCTATCATACCATCAAACTAAAGCTCTGTACTGCTTATCTTACCTAAGATGGATGAAATTAATTGATAAGGCAGTAGCTTGTATGAATGGAATAGTCTATGTTATGTGAAGACTTAGACTCTTATGATACATATTCATTGTGAAACATATTTTCTTTTTCCGTATCGACTCGCCAACTTCGTGATTCTATAAGCTAAAATTTCAGGCAGCAAACCAAGGACCTGATAAGATAACGTCCAACTCGTTCTCATTGCGTGAGAGCATCGCAGTGCACTTCGCTGTTCGGGGAGGCTTGCACGCGTTCTCTTGTGTTGTTCTTCAATATCGGAGTAATGTCGGCCGAATGTGTGAACTCAGCAGGTGAGTAGAATCATACAGAAAAGGCACTTGCATCATTAGTCTGCTCAGGTAGCTAGGTAACCCTGAATTTAAAAGCATAGAAAACGCTACGTTGATTTACCATATCTTCATCGAACGCTCCAAGAAAGTGGAAACGCAAAGAAATGATGAATTTATCTGTCGTTTTCAGTGGATATTCCGTGAATTTACTAAAAAAATTACGTTTTCTCTATTTTATATTCCAGACTCAGCAAAAATGCTGCTCCAGGCTTTGTTCACTTATTATGGCGAGTCGAAAGGAAAATGACTCGGGCGTCTGAATAATAATTTTGGGACCAAGCAATTTGTGGCCTTGCCATAAGAACTGACCGTGTATATTTGTTCTCGTATAGTTATGAAGTCAGTGCTGAATTTAAAATAATTGTTTAAAGACTTTGATAAAAAGTTCTTAAACGTGGACTGACACTATTGTAATGTTTGTAACTTCTGTCCTCAGTTGCCACTAATGACACACAAGCCGCCACGTTACTCAAGTGGCCACCCACCATTGCAAATTACATCCCAATCAAATTGTATTGAATGAGAAGATCCGCTTTTCACTAATATTTGCTGTAACTCAATGGCAAAAAATACCTCAATGTAACTCAATGGCAAAAGGTGCTTACATATATCATTAGTCTGCTTAAGTAGCTAGTTAACCGAGAATTTAAAAGCATAGAAAACGCTAAATTTATTTACTATATCTTCATCGAAAGCTCCAAGAAAGTGAAAACGCCAAGAAATGATGAATTTACCTGCCGTTTTCAGTGGGTATTTGGTAAATTTACTCAATAAATGTACATTTTTTTCTGCTTTAAATTCCCGATTCGGCAAAAATGCTGCACCAGGCTTTATTCCTTTAATTTTTATGATGGCGAGTCGAAAGGAGAATGACTAGGGCGTGAGTATATTAATTTTGGGACCAAGCAATTGATGTCATTGCCATCAGAACTGACCGTGTATTTTTGTTCTCGTATAGTTATGAAGTCAGTGCAGAATTTAAAATAAATGTTCCATTAGTTTGGTTCAAAGTCCTTAAACATGGACTAAGACAACAATTTGTTTATAACTTTTATCCTCAGTTGCCACTAATGACACACAAGCCGCAATGGTACTCAAGTGGCCACCCTCCAATGCAAACTTAATTCCTTTTAAATTACATTCAAGGAGAACATCCGATCTTGACTAATTTTGCTATGAGTCGAAGTAAAAAAAACAACCCTCTACCATCTATAATTAATTTTGATTGGAAGTTGAGTGCATGTGGCTCGCCGTTCACGTGTCAACGTAGATGGGATGGTTTTGAACCATCGAATTCCTTGTTTTTTGAAGTTTGACTCATTATAATTACATAAACTCAATTTCATAGGTGATAATCTGGTTAACGTAATCGAGGATTTTTCATTGAAATTTGACGTTCTTTCAGTAGTCTCTGAATATAGTTGTTATCACATTAAATTAGGGTAATTTATGCATCATTACGAATCTTGCCTTTTTACGTTTAAAAGTTTCTTCCGTTATCAGACAAAAGCTCGGCCTCCGAGACCTCCGTGAGCCCCGCGGTGCTGCCGGAGAGAGGCGGCCGGCCGAGTCCTTTTGCAATCGGCATTGACTTCGGGACGAGCAAATGCTGCGTGGCTGTGGTGCGCGACGGCCGGGTGGACGTCCTGGAGAACGAGTTGGGGCAAAGGACGACGCCCTCGTGCGTTGCCTTCAACTCCCAGCAGCGACTAGTGGGCAGCGATGCCCTGAGCCAGGCCGTTGTAAACTGCGACAACACCGTGCACGGCGTCAAAAAGTTCCTGGGACGCACCTACGACGAAGTGAAGGACTTGTCTTCTCTCTGCAGAATTAACCCAACTGAGCCCTCCGATATATTTGAGAACTTCATCCATTATAAAAATACCGATCTAAGGCTGAGACCGGAGCAGGTGGCCGCCATGCTGCTCGGGAAGATGAAGGACATCGCGGAATCCTCTCTGGGTTGTCCCGTGGACCGCGCGGTCATCTCGGTACCGGCTTCGTTCGGCAACGCGCAGCGACTCGCTATAAAAAACGCCGCGCAAGTCGCCGGACTTGAAGTTCTTGAGCTGATCAACGAAACAACCGCGGCGGGGGTCGCCTTCGTGGAAAACCGTACCGTCCAGACTCCCGAGGTTATTGCGGTTGTGGATTTTGGAGCGGGGAAACTGGATGTGTCCATCATGGAGGTTAGTGGCAGATCGGTGAAAATCATGGCCGCCGCTGGAGACCCAAACTTTGGTGGATTTAACATCAACAATATTTTTGCTAACCATTGTGTTGCTGTCATTAAGGAAAAACATAACTATACAGTGAAAAATAAAAGGCACCTGAAGCGATTGCGAGGTATGTGTGAAAGCGCCAAAAAAATTCTGTCTGTGCAGGCAAAAGCTCGCGTAATCATAGAGCGGCCCTACAAGACTAACGTAGAACTCACCATCAAAAGGATAAAATTCAATGAACTCATTCGGTCAAGAATTCTGAATACATTGACTCGTACCTTTGATCATCTTCTCGATCAGATATTATTAACCAAAGATGAGATCAGCAAGGTTGTACTGGTCGGGGGTTCAACACGCGTCCCGCTGGTGCGGGCCGTCCTCGAGGGATATTTTGGTCCGGGAAAGTTAGATCAAACGTTGAATAAAGACGAGGCTGTGGCCCGTGGTGCTGCTCTTCGAGCTGCGACTCTGAGTGGGCAAGAAACTTCGATCAAGGTTAGCGACGTGATCTCCTACGCTATCTTCGCTAACGTTGACGGATATAACGATCGTCCGCAAATGACGACCATAAATAGATACAGTTGTATCCCGCGTAGACATCCGATAAAATTTGAGCTTAAAAACTTCAAATGCTTGAAAAATTTGTACGAAAGTTTCTTCGTAGAGGGAACTAGAACTGAACTCCAAGTTTCGTACACGCAACCTTCCAATATACAGATGTCAAGCAGTCTCGGTGATGGTTATTTGGTCATGAACATCGACTCTAGTGGCATACTCGAGGTGCACGCAGAAGCCAATAAAAAAATACTTTACAGATGTGAGATAGGAAAATTTTTCTGTCCTCCCAGTACGATAAAAGAGTGGATTGATGCTGAGAACATGTTTCGCAAGGATGTCGATCACATAAACACTCTGTTAGCGGCTGAGGTTCAACTGGAATCTCTGGTCTATGAAGTTAAAAATTCGCTAAGTGGTGTCAAAGAACTGACGTCGGAGGAAATTTCAAAAATAAAAAATCAATGCGACGATATCCTAAAATGGATAGACGGCGATGAGGACGATGAGGACGATGAGGACGATGATGACGATGATGACTCAGCCTCTCTCCAAGATTTACACGGGAAGATTAAAAAACTAACGCATTTCAAGGAAACGATTGACCGTGTGAAGTCAATCACTAGAGCATATGAATCAGAATTGAAGACGCTTCAACAAAAATTATTCAGTGAATCGAAGGAATGACGACAACAAGTGTAATTGCCCTTGCATTGTGTATACTACTTCACTTGGGATTAAAAGGCTTGCAGCAATTGTTTTCCGCTGCATGTACTAAATTATTCTCTTAGTGAGACACATAAATTATACTTGAAACATATGAGAATATTTCTATCAGTACAGGTTTCACATGAAACTATCATTTTCAAATCTAAACCTGGAAATATCTTACGGCGATATAACAAGGGATCTAAAAGGTGCTTATGCACGGGGAGATTAGTTGCGTCGATTAGTTGAGTCGATTAAAGTTTTGCAGGCTGAGAGCCTATACACGAGGATTCGAGGTATAGAGCCTATACCTATAAACGAGGACTCAGGAGAGTGTTTTCAGTACAGTGCGCTGGTGCGACGTTGGGAGGTGTTGAGTAAGGGGTGCATTGTGTATGGTGGAGGCAAGCGAGAAATAAGTTTTCGCCGTTGCTAATGGTCGGGTTAACTCTACCTCCGTGGTGGGACTCGCTAGCTCTGCCTCCGTGGTACGACTTACGTCGTTCCTTCCCCCCTCGGGGTGCGAGGTCACCTGAGCGTTAGGCTCGCGGACAACCTCCTTCGCTGGAGATCGAGGAACGGAGACTTGTCTTACGACTTCCGTTTGATTTACTACCGTTACCGTCGTTGCAGCGGGCAGAGTCGAGGGTCGAGGCGTCGCCTCCACCGCGTCGTTGAGCATAATTCGCTCGACAGTCGGTAGCACGGGCACGATATCTCTGACTCGCGGACGTCGTTTACAGTAGCAGCACAGGACAATGGGAGCAATGATACCCAAGAGTAAAATGACTGTTATAGAACCGTGTATGACATGAAAGTGAGGAAACTATACTAGCGTGTGCTGTTTGTGAGCCTCCAGTGCGACATTAAGCTGTCGTACGTCTTCCATATTTGATTCCAGCTCGCTTACCAGATGTCGGGTGAGCTGAGTCTGTGAGACTCTGACCGATGGCATGGACGATAAGGGAAAAATCTTCACCCGGATTGAGTCTGCGCGCATGGACGTCACGACCTTCATCCGGTACATACCTTTTTGAACCAAGCAAAAAGCAAGGTGCGTAGATTGACACGATACCTGAGACAATTTGTGTCGAGCGCATGCTCGGGCTGGATGAGTTACATCTTATCTTTACCAATGTCGGTTGCAGAAATGCAACATGTCACTCATTAGTTGTAAAGACGCCGTAATCTTGTAAAGACGACTCCACAGGTTCGTATTCGCATTTCGCACTGTGTTGGTGCGTTTGGAGCAAGGTCAAGATGCACGATGGTTCAAAGACGGTTTGTGTAGCAGCGATAGACTGCTCACACAAGCATAATATGCTTGTGCGGTGACACTCCGATAAGTCCTCGAGTTCCAGGAAGGATACAGTATTAAATGCTACAAGCCTGGGCACTCGGCTTTGCTACAAACCATTTGAAGCTCGTTACATTACCAACTGACGTTTTGACCGGCAATCTCTGGAGAGACACCAAATCAATAATCTTATCGTTCTGCACGAAAGGCACGCGTATGATCGAGGTACGTGTACGGGGTCTTAGTTTTCGTCACAGACAGGAGTTGTAAGGCTACGTCTTCGTGTTCATCAATCTGTGCATTTGATAGCGGGAAAACTCCGATATTATTGTTAATTCCCGAAGCAATGAATTCTTTGAGTGACTCTCGGTCTATCAGGTTCATCAATATGTTCAAATCTAACAGCCTTGTCTCTAGTTTAAGATTCTCACTAACTGAGATTAAATAGGTAACGGTTACAATCAAGTCTTCTAGCACGTCAGATAGGATGCTAAATTTCTCTAGCGTGGTTATATCATTCTGTTGTTTAGCTAGATCCATCGACAAGTTAGAAATAGCATCTAGTGACCGGCTAATAATTTTAAGTTTTAATTCGTTAGCGTACAAGGTCTTGGCTTCCATTAGTAGTGAATTTGTCACTTCTCTAAGTTCCTGTACATCTCTGTCAACGGCAAGGCCAAAGAGGCCGTGGAGAATTTCTCCGCCTATATCAAAGAGGCCCCGACGGGTACGGCTTACAGAAGATGAGACATTTAACAATCGGTACCAGTGATTTACCAAGTCTAGGAAACTTCGCTGACATTAGCTAAGGTCAAGTACGAGAAACGGTTAAATACAGACACCAGATCGGTAACATCGAGTTGTGCTAAGAGTTCTCCTATAAGATGAATCCTAACTTAGCTAGCTCACCAGTTACAAAGCCTTTTTCGGCGTCGTCCAGTGCAGGGAACAGCCCTCTGGTATGACGCACCGTACTTTCCGTGAGTTCAAGAATCGACAACAAGTTATCGAGGAGGAAACGATGAGAGCTGAGTTCGATTAATAACATTAACACGATATCAAACAATTACCAAAAACATATAAGTTCACATTTGTAACTTTTTGGAACTATATATTATCTACTCGCAATTACTATATTAGAACGAGCGTAGTACCTATAATAAATCACGCAAAATTCGGCTCGCTAACGGAATCACAACGCTTGGCTAACAAACGTTCAGCACTACGTACCTTGAAGTTCGGGTTTTAAAAAAGAATTAAAATTTTTAAGCATTCCTCACTTTATAGTAGTCAGTGAACTTATGAGTAGAAGTGTGAATAAGCCCTGGAACTGGTAGACGTCTTAATTTCCCATTCTATTACGTCGTGCATGCTTGCAATATCCATTGCAGTGACCATTTCCGAAACTCATGCGAACGAGTGATCTCACGAGCACGTTAGTGGCAGTATTTTGCGATATTATTACAATTTTTCTATGCTGCTTTCATTATTATTACATGTAAATTGAAGTGATAAATCGCTAGAGTGATTAATCACACTTGATAACATGTAAGAAGAGGGATATTTGAATTCTAACTTTAAGAAAATGGCAGTACCTCCTCTCGTATGTGATGTATGTATATACCCTCGCTAGATTGGTGCGAGGTTCGTGCATACAGCAGTGTGTTATCTCTGATATACGATAAGCTGTACACGTGTAATATTCTTTCATTTTTATTATCAAAAGCAGTAATCATTTCCTAGAACGGCGTATTTCGGATGAATGTAATTCTCAATCTCCTTTTACCCGTCAGTAACCATTTGTTTTAATTGAATCAAACTGCAAGCGTCATTCAAAGTTGTACGCGCATGGAAGTACCTGACAATGCAAGGTTAAGTATGAGCAGATTTCTTTGCGACCTGAAGCGACATCATTTATGCTATCATACCATCAAACTAAAGCTCTGTACTGCTTATCTTACCTAAGATGGATGAAATTAATTGATAAGGCAGTAGCTTGTATGAATGGAATAGTCTATGTTATGTGAAGACTTAGACTCTTATGATACATATTCATTGTGAAACATATTTTCTTTTTCCGTATCGACTCGCCAACTTCGTGATTCTATAAGCTAAAATTTCAGGCAGCAAACCAAGGACCTGATAAGATAACGTCCAACTCGTTCTCATTGCGTGAGAGCATCGCAGTGCACTTCGCTGTTCGGGAGGCTTGCACGCGTTCTCTTGTGTTGTTCTTCAATATCGGAGTAATGTCGGCCGAATGTGTGAACTCAGCAGGTGAGTAGAATCATACAGAAAAGGCACTTGCATCATTAGTCTGCTCAGGTAGCTAGGTAACCCTGAATTTAAAAGCATAGAAAACGCTACGTTGATTTACCATATCTTCATCGAACGCTCCAAGAAAGTGGAAACGCAAAGAAATGATGAATTTATCTGTCGTTTTCAGTGGATATTCCGTGAATTTACTAAAAAAATTACGTTTTCTCTATTTTATATTCCAGACTCAGCAAAAATGCTGCTCCAGGCTTTGTTCACTTATTATGGCGAGTCGAAAGGAAAATGACTCGGGCGTCTGAATAATAATTTTGGGACCAAGCAATTTGTGGCCTTGCCATAAGAACTGACCGTGTATANAGGTCCAACTGGAATCTCTGGTCTACGAAGTTGAAAATTCGCTAAGTGGTGTCAAAGAACTGACGTCGGAGGAAATTTCAAAAATAAAAAATCAATGCGACGATATCCTAAAATGGATAGACGGCGATGAGGACGATGAGGACGATGAGGACGATGATGACGATGATGACTCAGCCTCTCTCCAAGATTTACACGGGAAGATTAAAAAACTAACGCATTTCAAGGAAACGATTGACCGTGTGAAGTCAATCACTAGAGCATATGAATCAGAATTTAAGACGCTTCAGCAAAAATTATTCAGTGAACCGAAGGAATGACGACAACAAGTGTAAATGCCTTTGCATTATGTATACCACTTCATTTGGGATTAAAAGGCTAGCAGCAATTGTCTTCCGCTGCATGTACTAAATTATTCTCTTAGTGAGTCACATAGACTATACTAGAAACATATGAGAACATTTCTATCAATTACAGGTTTCACATGAAACTATCATTTGGCCAAATAAACCTGGAAGTATCTTACGACGATATAACAAGGGATCTTCTGTGCGTGAAGGAACGAGACCAAGAAACCATTGACACGTCGGAACAACACGTGTACAGTGTACGGTTTCGAGACGACTAAACCTATAAAAATATAACTCAGTACTCACTCCAGTAAGTGACAGAGAGCTCATTTTCTCGTCGACGAAAACGTGAAGTCACGGACGGACAGACAGACAGATGGACGGACGGACATGGCGAGCACAATAGCGCCTTTTTTCCATAAATGAGAAAATGCGCTGAAAAGGCTGGCCGAGTAGCCGCTAACGCGCTTAGCTGGTGGATCTCGGCCCATAAGGCGAAACCTGCGACCACGATCAAATGTCCGTCATGGACGATGAGCTTTTGCAACTTCGAGCGAATACGTGCGGGGGTCGAGCCTCGTTAGGGGGAATATTAGAGAGGATAATTGCCGACTCTATAGCTGACGATTGCACTATTTTAGTCTTTTTAGCAATCAAGATAACGTGGTATCGAAGAGTTTTTTGTGTAGTACTATGGCTGCTATTTTGTTGTATAAAAATTGTCAGATGAGAACATTGTTAATTTCTATTCGACCTAGATAGGTTGCCTAAATTACCGCATTCGAGTAATTTCCTCACCTCCGTGATTGCGATATGTTCATAAACATTTCCTTGTGTTAGCCATTTCCTTGTTTAACCAGGTAGCAACTCACGCCCTTGGCGACGTCGAATAGCGAACCTATATTCCTCTGTCTTGAACCAGGAACTTCAGTCTTGGGCCGAGAAGGGTCGTGTATACGTCTATTCCTCCTGTCCATGTCAAAAGGATGGTAAAGTCAACTAAAGTTTGAGTTCAAAGTGATTTCAGCTGTCGTCTGCACAGGCAAGCTTATGAATTTGGAGCATCGCTTCGAAGTTGTTGAATGCAAGCGAAGAGGAATTTTAACAGGAATGGCGATACAAGAATTGAATGTGAGAACTAATTAGGCATCGAAAGAATACTAGCCCACTAATTTGCGAAACGCAGAAGCCATTTGCTCATCAGGAGTGCTACCTAGCTCATGAACACCCAAACTCCAGCATCAGTTCTCATACATATTTCCATCCAGTAATTTTTTTTCCTAAAGCCACATTTATGTTCCGTAATTTCTTTTTTTAGGTTTATATATTAGATCTGCAAACAATGTTACTTCAACTTTTTGAAAAAAACTATTGAGTAGCATATTATACTTGTACTGTTATTTACTACGCTGTGCTATTTTTTCAATTTCCATTTTATGACATGAGTTAGCATTAGCAAGCATGTTAAAAATTTATAATGAATTACGTATATTCGAGAATATTAGAATTAAAATTATTCGATAAATGCTGTGAAAATGATCACTCTTTGCTAACAAGGGTTTATACAGAATTGATTTCACTTGCGATATGTTCTGGGCGAGCTTGAGGTGGTCGATCTTGAATTATTTTGACATGAGGTACCCCAAGGCACCTAGATGTCCCCATTGCCTGGCGATGAATGAAATTCTAAGAATAAATGTTTCTTAGAAATTATTTGGATGCGTTTTCACTAGTTCCATCTGGGTAACGAGACACTGACAGATTTCCTCAATACACAACATTCTAAATTATAGGCCACGTAATACCGCCTTCATCTCGTGTAGATAGGCTTACGTGTGTAGCCTAGAGATTTCATGTCAATTTGAGCTCTGCCCGCGGACCGGGCAAAAGCTGTAAACCAAAATGACATGAAATTCATAGGAAAGTGCGCAATTTGTTGTCTTGATTGTGCAGTTGTGTCGCCCAAATGAAGTTATTCACATGAACCCTTACACTGAGAATCGTAATTTCTTCCGAATTCTGCAAGTTTCGGGTAGTGTGCGATGATTTGAAGTGAATTTGTGAGGTGGAGCTGTAATATTAGATTAAATGTAATGAAATCTATTTATTGAATCTATATTAATTAATGAGGATTTGTTAGCGGATAGTGATTTTGTTTTGTTCTTCCGTGCAAGTCACGTCGCGATTTAACAGTGCTATGAGTATCCTTGGCATGCCGGACCTAGCAGTTCCAAGCAAGCTGATTATGATAAGTTAGAAGTTAATTTTCTGAGTATAAGATATTTTTTCCATTTAGGTATCACTTGTTACTGATAATTTGATTGTAGCTATTTATTATTCTCGGTTTTTATTATTCTATTTGGAACTATTTCTTGTCTGAGTTGCGTCAGACTAATTGAACATGAACTGCGTTGTTGCTTGTGATTAAAATGTTCAAAACTGCATTTGTTTTATTCCTAAACTAGGATAACAATTGTAACTTAATTTTGCATTATGCGATGATGCGTCTAATCTAAATAAGGCCGATCGCCAATCTATAGTCAATTTACCCATATTTATTCCTTTCTCCCGGAACATATGTCAAGCAGCCTCATGTACCTTTCACGTTTCTACCATTGTGAAGAGAACAGTTACCGGCAATTGCAGTGCCAAATTTTTCCCCAGGGATTATCATTTTCGTGCATCTTACGACTGCAGGCATTGCTGTATAAAAACTTGTTGTTAACGTCTGAAAACCATGACAGGTCTGAACGCAAGTGAGTAAAC